GCAGGAATTTGGCTCTCTGTGTGTATACATACTATTAAGTTGTTATTTCATTAGCAAATTAAATAACCATGTATTAAAAGGAAAGCAAGAGTTAGGGACTGGTTTTCTTCTGTAAATTTGCCAGCTTGGTTTGGCAAAGTGAATGTTCTGACACAAGTCAGACTCGATCAACAAAAATATCAGTTAATAGAAGAAAGGCCATGCAGAGGCTACGGTCAAATTCCTCAAGCTTGGACACTGGCAAATAAAGAAAAACATGATGGAGCAAGCAACTCAGGACAGTGAGTTAAAAGTAGTTGGAGTGGTTAGTAGGAGCATCTGGCCCACAAACCTTGAGAACCTCAAACTCCAGCTGGTTTCAGTGATCATCACAAGTGAAAATTCATTGTAAGAGTATGTTTTTTAAGATATGATGCATTTGAAACCATTATTGTTGGTTCCCTGCAACACTCTTAATAAATGTGGGAAGTAAGGACCAATAACAAAAGCAATAAAGTCTTTATTACCTTCAAAATATCACTACCCACTCTAAATCTACCTCATACAGCATTTTATAGACAATACTACAGTCATAATGTGCAGTGGTTAGCTTTATAGGGTTCATTCATTCCTGGTGATAAACATTTTTTTTTAAGGAAATAAGAAAATGTTTTCTGAGCAATTACTGAAGAAATGGTACTTGGCTGCAACAACTGGTAGAGTAATGTTATCATCTCTGCAATAAAAATAACTGGACAAAGCATAAAGGAAGCAAAAAAAATACTTGAAGTACAGGCAAGCATTATCTGTCTGAATAGGTCACGGATATGCCAACCTTTAATTAGAACAATAACAACAAATGGAAAAGAATGAAGAGTATGTATAGTAGGCAGTGTTAATTTCATTGACTTCTTGAAAGCAGTCACCATTTTCCTTTTGTTATTGCAATACAATCTTTGTTGTAAATCTTGGTTTATTTTAGCACTGGTCACCCATGTACCTTGCCAGCATGACTGATCGACACTTAACAGAATTGATGGATGTCATTGCCCTTCTGGGAATGTTCCCCATCACTGCTCTTTCTGTCATTCTCTCAGCGATAGTCACTGGCTGGATACTGAAAAGACACAGGGTGGTAAACACTTTGAAACTAATTAATTTGAGGGAGTGGAATACATAATTTGTATTGATTGTGCAAATGCCATTGCTTTGCTCTTCAACAGCCCTTTCCAGAATGTCATATGAAGCAATCTCCATCACCGGAGGAACACATGTAAGTTAGAATAAACAACAGAGGAACTGCAGAGATTAGTTAGGTTTTCACCTCTTAGTTGTGATGTAACTCAATCCTAATTAAATTAGTAGTGAATGAGAATCATCAGCAACCAAATGACACTTTTCTCCTCAATTTATATTCTTAACCTGATTCCTGATAGGGAGAAACCTGATCTCACATGATTTGAAATACGCTGCTTGGAATATGCTTAGGCCTAATCTTTTGAGCAATAGACCCTGGAAATCTGGCCATCTCCTGCAAAAGTCAATAATGGAACAATAGAACAGGTACTGGAGTAAAACCCAGGAGTAATGTCCTATTCTTAGAGAAGAGAATGAGGATTTAGCTTTTAGTTTCATTTTAAATTGTAAGTTCACAAAAAACCTCACCAGTGTTATCTTTAACATTGTTGCATACTCTAAGTAGTCACTGAAAATCAAAACAAACAAAAAAAAGATAGATATATTTCCCTGCACAGCTACACCTGTTCCTGTTAATTTACACTGTGAAGACATTCGAATGGTGAAGAAGATGATATAATTTACTCTTGGCCGTAATAAAACCTTAGACTCCCATGTTATGATCTGGCATTTTTCATGAATATTAGAAAGAAAAGAAAACATCAATCATCCTCTGTAGATGTGAACATTTAGAACTCTGCAATAGCAAAATCATATCAGACTTATTTTAAACCAAGTAGCTGTGTGCCTAACTGAGCTTCTTTCCATTTATATCAGTTTTACATTTGGGTAACACTGACTTCAGCAGACACTTGTCTCTACACCACAGCCACAAAGGGCAGAAATGTACCTATGCGAGTTCAAACCAAGAAAGATGAAAAAATTACAAAGGTTTTTGACAGCTATATTATAAGAAAAATGATCAGATACAGATGACAGCAATGCATTTCTAGCCAAGAGAGTTCTAAGACAAGTTAAGCAATCAATCATCTGCATCACTCACTATTCAGTGAGTCGACATTCAACATCTGAATCAGTCATTACAATGTAAAGAGAATTAGTAAAGTCTCTAACAAAATGCAAATAAGTGAACTGGAGGACAATACAGTCAAATTCTAGAACTTGGCAGGAAGCCAGAAGAATTATTTTGACATGACTGCTTGGGGGGTTTTTTTTTTTTTTTTTTAAAAATAAAAAAAAAAAAAAAAAAAAAAAGAGAGAACTTAAGTCTTGAGCAGTTAAAAACTATTCTGTAAGACAAACATATGGTTATATTTAGCCAGAAAAAAATACAGAATAAATGCATGCTCTGACACTTTGCTACACTTCTGCACAAATTAACTCTTTTTGGTGCTAGTGAGAGTTTTTCCAAAGAAGTGCAAAGAATAGTGGGGCAAAGCTAGCCTGAATGGTGTGCAACTCTTTGTGTTATCTTTATCTTCCTTGAATATGTTGCATACTAGTTCTTGCCGCCATAGAGTATGAGCCTGCTTCAAAATCCGCCTGGTATAAGTGCATGTAAAAAATAGATTTAACATCTGTGGGACTAACACCAAGCTGCAGGTGCTGAAATTCTGTAAAATCATAAGTACCACTATTATGTAAGTCCAAAAAATCCCCACCTAACACCTTCCTTGTTCTAATTAAAGTGAGAGCAGGGGGGGGAAAGAAGCAAAATGACTTCAAGAAGAAAATTAAGCAGAAGCTTCTGTTTTAGCAGCAGCTTCACCTTGATTTTTAACAGCGTAGGGGGTGGTATACTTCACC